GGGAATAGGGCGGCATATAAATAAAACGAAACCTAAACCTAAACCTAATTTGACTCATCCCTTTTAGACTAGAGCTTTGATTGCTTATGTAACTATTGTCAACTCTGAAGCAAACCTGGTTGAAGCCATTTTTGCTGCCTCATAGTTGCCACGAACCATGAGAGTGTGTTACTCAGAACGCTGACAACTATGTCTGCTCTGCTGAGTCCAGTGGCTGAGACAAGGCAGTACAGTCCCTACAAGAATCATTGGAAATCAGGTAGCATATAAGGTTTAAACGTTGTTATTATTATTACATACCTTTTTGTTTAAATTTAGAACAGAAACCTAATAACACATTTTAGATACCAGTCAATCCAGAGAAATACCAGTGACATCAGCTCATATCAGAGAAGTCTCTGAATTTGTTGCTGACATTTTGTATGACAAACCTGTCATCAACATCATAACTGAATCTCTCATTATTACTTAGCCTTTCTTTGCCAGTCCCCATCCTGAGATTATAGGAGAAAAAGTAGAAAGCACATCTACCAAGATTTGCTAGTCTGCATTTTATTATAATGGAAATATAAATAAATAATTCATTGTGTGTCCAATAATACTTGGCCAATAAATAAATTCTATTCTGTTCCACTCCATTCCATTCTATTCTATTCTTCTGTAGGCCGGTTAAATTTACAAAAAGAAACCTAGTTCTGGTAAACCAAAATAAATTAATGCTTTCTTTGTTTCAGCTGTGTTGTAGATGAGATGGACTTCTCAGCTATGGAACTGGATGAAGCTCTCAGGAAATTTCAAGCTCATATCCGTGTCCAAGGAGAAGCTCAGAAAGTAGAACGACTCATTGAAGCTTTTAGGTATGACGTAGCAAGCTAGCAGCTGATTGAAAATTTATAAGTCTCAGGAACAGTGCAGTTGAATATAGTTCTTTTTAAAAGAAAAATCAGTTAAAATAAAAAATAGGTATATATGTCCTAAAAGTGCTTTTTCAAGGGGCAGCTTGACTTTCTGCCTTTTCTTTGAAGACCTTTCGCTTCATATCCAAGAAGTTTCTTCAGCTGAAGAAGCTTTAAGAAGCTGAAGAAGCTTATTGGATGAGAAGCAAAACATCTTCAAAGAAAACCAGAAAGTCCAGTTGCCTCTTGAAAAAGCAGCTTTGAGACAACCATGACCTGGATGACTGAGAATTTCCATAGACATTAGTATATAAGTTGTAATTCCTGGTAGTTTAATTTGGTTTTTCTTTTGTCATTTATTTTAAACTGAAGTACCAGAATGGTACTATTTCAGTTTACACCTTTAAAAAGAAGTTAAATATATAGTCTTGAATTAAAATGCATTGACTTATAGAGTTACTGTGATAAGCAAAGACATTGCTCATTAAAATCTATTCAAATGTTCTTTATACTGGTGGAAATGTGGCAAGAAATCTAAAAGTAATAAAGGTATATACCTTCAGGCATTGATTTATAATTGTTAAGTCAATTGTATCATTAAGCAGAGAGAGCAAAATGCTTCTATGACCACAAAACCCAGGTGGCAATCCTGTGGCTATGGTATATAATAGGAATCTATGTTATTACTGCTGTGTTATATGAATAGTTACACTTATTTGATGACTCACTCTGTAAGTTTGTTCTGAAGCAAGGATATTTTACAAGCAACATGGAATACTTTTTATGAATTCTGCTATTCAGTTCACCCAAGTCAGTATTATATATCCAGTTGACAAATTATGCCTATAATTTGCAATAGTTTTCAAATCACTTAGTATAAAGCACATAAATTCAAATTTCAGTTGTGTTGGTGAAGTGTACAAATTTAGGAAATTGCATAAAATAATACAGTTGTTCTTTTGATATATCAGTAGTCTTTTACTTAATACATTACATTTGAGAGATTTACTAATTATTCTTCAGTATAGACTTGTTATTAGATAAGAAAATAGAATAAAGGAGTAAATACTGTTTTATTTTACATTTTATACTACCAAATGAATAATGATAAGAATCAACTTATCCTTGAATCTCACCTACTATTTTTCTAAAATATCTTTTCTAGCCAGAGATACTGCATCTGCAATCCAGGGGTTGTAAGGCAGTTCAGAAATCCTGACACCATCTTCATTCTTGCCTTTGCGATAATATTATTAAACACAGATATGTATAGTCCAAATGTAAAACCAGAACGTAAAATGAAGCTCGAAGATTTTGTCAAAAATCTAAGAGGTAGGCATAACATGAAGATTTGTCATTATCTAGAGATCTGGGTATATTATATTGCCAACTGTACTGCAACTGTTCAACAAATGTAACCCCATGGCGAGATAGGCGGCAAATAAATTTAATAATAATAAAGTGTTGAGAGTTTAGCCATTCTATGTCAGAAGCTTTGGAGGAACTAGTTTACCTTACCTCCACCCTATGAAGGAACTAGTCCACCATACCTGCTTTTGTTTTTCTGGCAGCAGGCCAAGGAATGAAATTAATAGAGCTCATCATTTCAATTTCTGCACCATTCTTGGGTTCCTTCTAGGTCTGAACCCAAGCTAGTAATAATTGTCTATCCAATAATTTCCAAATGGTTTGAGTGCTTTTTGACATTATGAGGTGGCTTGGGAATCTATGTGAAGAACAAAGTGTATGTTTGGTGTGTGTGTGTGTTTGTGTGTGTGTTGATACAGGTATATATTCAATAATAAATAAGTTCTTATTTTTGGACTACAAAGCAGACTTTAAAAATGCTTGCGTTTATTTAAATCAGGAAATGAGAGTGAAAAGACTATGGATACCGGTTTGCCTATGAATATCTCACTTGATACTATCCAGATTCATTAATATACAGTGTTTCTTTTGCCCCCACGAAATATGGCTTTGGGCTTATTATAGGGGGACGGCTTATTGTTTTGGGGTTGCTGGGCAGCTGCTCCCTTGCGAACTGGTTCCTGAAGAGCCGGGCACAGCCTCAGGGGCGAAGCAGCCATGAGGTGACCATGCTCACAAGCTGCCGGATAGAGAATCTTCCAGACAGAGAGTCTTCCAGACAGAGAGTCTTCCCGCAGCCAGCCCACAACCATAGAGCGCACTCCTAGAGTGGCCGCTGCTGGAAGACTCGGCAGCTGAGTTTTGTAGTTTGGAAGCTGGAGAAGAAGTTATGCTTGGAGTGCAGCAGGGGCGAAACAGGCGCTCGTGCAACCCCCCGCTCCAGCCGGCCAGAGCTTCATGCACTGACCTAGGGGGTATCCCGAATGTGCCAAGCCGTGGGAACTGGGGAGCGGGCAGAGCGTCACGTGCTTTGGCACCTTAGGGATATCCCCTAGGTCAGTGAATGGCGCTCTGCCCGGCTGGAGAGGGGGTTTGCCAGGCGGCTGCTCATGAGCATGGTCACCTCATGGCTGCTTCACCCCTGAGGCTGTGCCTGGCTCTACGGGAGCCAGTTCGCAAAGGAGCAGCCGCCCGGCAATTCCCACTCCGGCCAGGCAGAATGCCACTCCCCAACCTAGCGGTATCCCGAAGGCACCAAGCAATGTGAGCGCCTTTCCCCTCCAGCTTCTGTGGCTTGGCGTCTTCAGGATACCGCTAGGTCAGTGAGCAGTGCTCTGCCTGGCCAGGGGGGGTGGGGTGTCCAAGGGGCTTATTTTCAGGGGTGGGCTTATATTTTTGCCCACACGAAAAATGAGCAAGGCATGAGGTCTCAGGACAGGTCATATTTTCTGGGAAACATGGTAGCTGACTTAATTTTTTTTATTTTTAAAATTATTGTTATTGAAATTTTAGTAATAGTAATTGCTACTTGTACTAGTAAATAGTAACCATGAAAGTAGTAATAAAATACTATATGAACTAAACTCAAAAAAGAGAAAATAATAAAGAAAGAGAAAGTAGAATGTTCAAGAAAAGAGGGGAAAAGGAAAAAAGGAGGAAAATATAAGGAAAAACAGCAATATTTAAAGAAGTAATTTTCAATCTTCAACACAAACAAATTTAGTACTTCCTCACCCCCTCCCCTATAGGATAACATTCAAGTTTCTTTTCTTTCTGTAACTTATCCCTTATCAATACACAAATAATAAATCATTAACATTTCAGTCCTGGTGCTAGAAAAAATTCTGTAAAAATTCCCAGATTTCTATAGAAACATGTCTTAATTTAATTTTGGTCAAAAAAACCAATTGTATATTCCTTCCTTTTGATTCTAGCAATCTACAAGAAATCTAGCATTTGATCTGTCTTCACATTTTTTATACATTTTTCCCAGGCTTCTTTAAGGCTTTATCAAACCTCTTTTATAAATCCAGCAAGGTGTCATTATCCGGGTCATTCCCTTGGTTTATCATTTTTATTTCCGTTATAGTTCTCTTTTAACTGTCATATCTATTTTATAATCCACAATTATTTTATTTTCCTATATTTCAACAATATAGGGTGTTTCAGCTCTTTATCGTAGATATTCTAAGATATTCTCTTTCACAATAGTCATTTCTTTTTTGACATCTTTTGGACACAGATAAAAATAAACTTCAGTACTGACATTGCAGCTGCTAGTTTTCTGGCTCCATTCTTTGAATATCTCCTGAAGTATTTCAAGTGTTACATCATTTTCTGTCATTTTTTCCCCAATACTGACCAAAGACAAAAGACAAGCCTGTCTTAATCCAAACTTTATTATCTTTTTATAAATAACTCAGGGTGCCAAATATACATAATGCTGCTTCTTTTTCCTATATTCCCCACAAAAACAATCCTGAGAGGAGAGTCGGCTGACAGAGTGACTGGCCCAAAGTTACTCGGTTGGCTTTCAAAGCTAAGGCAGTAATAGATCTCGCAATTTCCTGGCACCTTAACCACTAGACCAGATTGGCTTTCTTTTTTTCTTTTTTTTTCCTTTTATGCCGTGAATCTTAAATCTCCTTTAGTGTCCAGTTTCTGAAATCATAAAATCTTGGATTTCTGTTATGACTTAAAATAGATTAAACAATTTATTTCCCACAAAGGTGCTCTTTATTTATATAATTATATCTAACTTCCTATAGAAAAAAATTCTAATATTACAAATTTGTCTGTACCCTTAACTTTATTGGATTAAGGTATTATTTAGCTTTTTGATATTTATTTCACTTTCTTTAAACTCTTAGGTTTATAGCTAAGTTTTCTTTTATTCTGGAATGAAGGCAAATTTACCATGTGACTTCACAAGCTTGTAATTTTGAAGATCTTTATTAACCTTAAGATGGTTAATTAGTTCAAAGTTATTAGAAATTGTGATTAGCAAGCCAAGTGTCCATAAAAAGATTTTTTTGCAATTGAGAGTAGAGTGGTTTTCCTTTGCTTCCAATGCTTAAACCGATGGGAAAGTTTCCTTTTGAGGAACAGCTGTCCAGAGTTCCATGGGACAAATCTACTCACTGATCTTTTGTTGTTTCTACTCATTCAGAGATGTGCTAGCTTGCCATTTGTCACTGGAAGTCAGGCTTTTTTTAAAAAAAGTTTAATTTAAAATAACTAGTTAAGAAGTTGATATGTTATAAAGCTTCAATTGCATGTTCTCCCCCCCCCCAATGTCTCAGACCTTACTTGGGCCTCACAGGCTTTCCTATAAAATAAAATTGATAGTTGATTTTACCTCTGCGCTTTGTTTAGAATTATGTCTAGCTGCAAGAGAAAAAACAAACAAACCAAAATCTAGACAAAATCTTCTGAGGATTTATATAGGTGAAGGGAATGAATCTCTCCAGTTTGTCTTCTGGTAAATTGGTGGTTTGTAATCACAACAAGCAACCACTTCAGGAGAACAAATTGATCCTAAAATACCAGGTGGCCACAAGCAGTTCCCTGCCACTGCTTTAGAGTGGAATAATTGGTTTGTGTGTGTTTTACTAACAGGACTGTAGAATAAAAATATATCTTACAGCCTTTATGTAATAGTTTCTTTGTTTTTTGATATGTGTGTAGCATTTGTGACATAAGAAACCAAGTTACAAAAATGAAATCAGATTATAAATAGAACAAAACAGACAACATTGGTACAAGGATATGTTTGTTTATTCTTAAAATCATGTTTGCCATCCGCAGCATGAAGTACTTTCTCCCTAGTAAATCTGTCTGTAGCCCAAATACATTATCCTTACCTCATTGTTAAACAACATGGTGGTGAATGTGTGGATAATTCCATAGCCATAGTGTCTGTAAACTATTTCTTCTATGCTAATATCAGTACATACCTATTCCAGATTATTTGTTTATGTGAGCAGTGTGTTAATGCAATTTATAGTAGAAATATTATCAATGTTTGTTATCGAGGTTCAGTACAGTAATTAATGCTGCCATTAAACTATACAGCTGCAAATGGGTATTCAACAGTAGTAGTTATCAAATATTGTTCATTTTTGCATTCCATAAACTATGCTTCTAATTATAGCTATCTGTACATGTTGCAGAAAGAAATACACATTAAATTAAGTAATCAGAGGACCAAGAAATATTTTATGAAGTTATCTGTCTTTCATAATGAATAATGATGGCTCTATGCCAAATAGATCTAGATAGGACTTTGTTAATATCATACAATATATTATCATTGAAATGGCCAGAGAAATAGAGAATAAGAAAAGGGTGTCTTTTTTGGTCTAAACTTTTTTAAAATCATGTCAATAGAAATTAGTACTTTTATTTCAACATTCCAGTATTTTATACTGATGTGACAGTTTTCTGGAAATAACAGAATAGAAACAAGCTTGAGGGCTGCAGAGTAGTCATTTCTGCAGAGTCCTTAGTGCTGACTGGGCTTGGTCATTTTCTTGCAAAAGTTTCATTACCAAACTAAATAATATCATAAACAACATCTACATACCATTCAAAAGAGACAATCAAAAAGCTAGAAGACTTTCTCACCAGCAATCAATGCCCTAATGAGCAGAGATTAACATCAAGATTAATATTAAACCAACAATCAAAAAGCAAACAATATTCCAATTAAGGAACTACCAACTCAGATGAACAAGCTCAGCTGGTAGTTGGTAGTTTACCCAGTTGGCTGAGGAAACAACAGCCCAATATAGGAACCACCAAGACCATTCCCACCAACAGTGACAGGGAAAGTCACTTGTATATATAAAATGAGAGCAAACCCCATTGTATATCAGCACTGACATTCCTTATCTAGTTTGGTAATTAGACATTTGCAAGAAAACAATCAAGCTCAGAGAGTACTAAGAACCCTGCTTGTTCACCCTGATTTACAAATTTTCTATCATACGGTACCTATTTCTGTTTTATATCATTTCTGGGACAGGATCAAATAATATTTATTGGACCCTAAATAATAACTACTTTTAAAAGGAGTCAGTTGAAAGGGGGCTTTGTCTCCATATTTTCTTCAGGTTTTTGCAAAGACTCAGATTACTAGACAAGATGCACCATTAGTCTTAAATAAAAGGGTTTTTATCTTCTTACATTTGATTGCTGTAGATTCACAGTCAATAATTAAATGTAAATGGAACACCTAATTTGCCTATATCTGTTTAACAATGGAAATGTTACCATAATAAGCTTTTTGCCTGTTTTTTCATTGCAAAAATGGCTCTTTGTAGTATGATATAAAGAAATCCAGGCTTTAATTGGCATAATGGTAATCTTAGCAGCCAGGACCTCCTTTGTGGTTGATATTCCAGACAAATGTATTTATTTATTAAATTTCTATGCCACCCATCTCCTGTACAAGGTGACTCATAGTATCCCAATGAGATACTATCTTTGGTTTGGGGTTATATGAAAGATAATATAATGAAAGTGCAAAGATGGCACATGTATTAATCAGCAATAATCACAATCACTTTTCCAGGCGTTGATGATGGTGAAGATATTCCACGAGAGATGCTCATCGGGATTTATGAGAGAATCCGAAAACGGGAACTCAAGACCAATGAAGATCATGTATCACAGGTCCAAAAGGTTGAAAAGCTCATAGTAGGAAAAAAGCCAGTAAGTTTCTTTTATGGATAATATTATGCATAAAGTTAGACTGGATTTTCTCAGAATGTTGCCAGAATATTTCAGGACAATGAGAATCTTCTAAAAAAAAACCATGATATGTTTATAATCATAAAGTAAAAAATGAAAGAAAAATGAATAACCTTGTACTAATAGTGTATTACAGTACTTTTACACATAGCAGGATTTGGATTTCATGCTTTTGAAAGAATGGTTGGGCCTGAATGGAATAACTAAAAGTCCAGCTTTATAAAAAAAGAGCAAGAGTAAACCGTAGAACTGTGAGCTTCTTTCTCCTCTGGCTTGCCTTTGATGAATGCTTTCACTTCGACTTCAGATTTGATTGATTGTTGATAAAGTGCTGTCAAGTTGGTGTCATTTCTTATTAACGAGATAGAGAGATTTTTTCCTAGGATTATCCTACTGTATCCTGGCCTTTTAAATCTTAGTTAGCAGCACCAATGTAAAACGTCTGTTCCCCAGTCCTAGAAAAATGGTCTAGCCCAAGGGTGTCATATTCACATCATTATGGCAGCACCACCTGACATATTGGGACTTTTTCCCCCTTCACTAAACTGAGCATGGGCATGGCCAGTGTGTTTGGTCTAGCCTGTCTTCAGAGAAATTCTGGATGATATAGCCGGTGCTTCTGTTGAAGCACTTTGGAATTCATCATATCAGGAAATATAAATAATACAAATGTATATGTTTGAAATTGTTACAACTGTATTCTGCTATTTTAATTAAGTCTGCTGATTTAATTGCCCATAGAGCATAAATGACTATACCAGCTGGCATCAAGGAAGTGATCTTTCAGAATAAAAGAATAATAGAATAACAGAGTTGGAAGGGACCTTGGAGGTTTTCTAGTCAAACCTAAAGTAAACTCTATAGCCTATATCATTTCAGACAAGTGATTATCCAATCTCTTCTAAAAACCTCCAGTGTTGGAGCAGCCATAACTTCTAGAGACAAGTCTGATTGATTGTTCTAACTATAAGGAAATTTCTCCTTAGTTCTAGTTGATCTTTTCCTTGATTAGTTTCCACCCATTGCTTCTTGTCATGCTTTTGGGTGCTTTGGAGAATAGTTTGACTCCCTCTTCTTTGTGGCAGCCCCTCAGATATTGGAATACTGCTATCATGTCTCCCATAGTCCTTCTTTTCATTAAACCATACCCAATTCCTGCAACAGTTTTTCACATGTTTTAGCCTTTAGTCCCCTAATCCTTCTTTGTTTCTCTTCTTTGCACTCTTTCTAGAAACATCCTGCATGCAAATCAATGGTATATATTTTGCTTTGAGAGTATATAATTGGTTTTCTGCAATAACAGCTTCTCTGAGTTGGAGGCTCTCTCAATTATCTCTTTGAGTTTTCTTTTTGAAGTTCCACTATACAATAGTTTTAGGTCTTCTACATATAGGAAACTCAAGCAATAAAAATTATTTCTACCTCATTAAATAAACTTTACCTGAGCAACTCAAAGATACTAATAACAAAAAAAAATATCCCCTGTGTTTTTGGAACAGAAGGAAGCTGTAAAGAAATGTCCATGTTTGTCTATTTTTGGTATATCTCAGATAAACAACAAGGTGGTCCCCAAGCTTGGCAACTGTAAGACTTGTGGACTTCAATTCCCAGAGTTCTCCAGCCAACCACAAGTCTTAAAGTTGCCAAGTTTGAAGACTTCTGATTCTGTCAAGATGCTATTGCCATAAATACTAAAAATGTCACTTCAAAAGCAAAAATGTTATAATTCAAGTTTTCAATTATTTCATATTTCTAACAGTGTTTTGGTGATTTCTACAATCTCTACAATCAATATTATAGAAATGGTTATTTTGCAAACATTTAATCATAATAAGACTGAAATATTTGCTTGATAAGGTACAATATTGTGTTTTTCTGAAGTTTAATTATATTTTTCTGTCTTTTACCATAGATTGGATCTCTACATCATGGGCTTGGTTGTGTAAGTGTTTGTTTTCATTTTTATATATTCAATAGGCAGATCTTACCATAATTTTAGAAAATTGCCCTTTATAAACTTGAATATTATATACTTTTATTTGGTACAGTATTCTAGTTAGTACATAGAAAAAACTGAATCACTAATCTAATAAAATATTTCTGTTATACAAATGGAGTTGATTAGTGCTTTCTATGTAGGATTCAGAGGGAAAGGGAAAAATAAATTACAAGTTATTTGCAAAGGGCAGCCTTATAAATTTCAGGGAAATCGGTTATAATATGTTGCATTTCTGTTTCTGATTTATAGGTTCTGTCTCTCCCACATCGGCGACTTGTTTGTTACTGTAGGCTTTTTGAAGTCCCAGATCCAAATAAACCTCAGAAGCTTGGATTACACCAGCGAGAAATATTTTTATTTAATGATCTCCTTGTGGTATGTGCTACATAATTTATATTATTTTACTATAAGGCAGAACCATTATTAAGCAAGAAAGCTTTCTGTAGCCCTGGTGGATAAGGTACAAATGTACAACTAAATTGGATCTCAGAGTTCCTGTCTATAATCTAGCAGACCAGAGCTGCATACATCCAGCCCTTAATTTATATATATATATATAAACCCTCTGAAATCTTCACAGTAGGCTGCTTGGTGGACTGGACTCAATCCTTCCCCTCTAACGTAATTGCTTGTCAATGCATTTTACCTATTAAATGGAGGGACAAGAAAGGAGCTTCCCCTGATTCAGGCGTCCTGCAGGTAAAGATAACACTGCCTGAAAAAAATCTGTTCACAGAGGCAGTCAGCTACCTTGGTGATCCCTGGCTAACACGTGCCATACCCCAAATAAATAACCTATTAAAAGCAATATGTATATTACTGAGTTAACCTTGTTCTCACACACTTAACACGATGCATGCACATTCATCAATGGTACAAGAGCATTAATCTCCCACAAAAAGGAATGAATTGAGTATTCTGGGTTTAATTAATTATATTTTGCTTTCTTATGAGAGAAAATGGTATAAATTGGTACATACCAGGATTCTCAAATGCTCCATACTTTTATTAAAGTTTTACTACTATTTGAAACAATATTAAACATGCAGGAGTAAAACGATCATAGAAATTTTTGCCATTTAAAATGGCATAATTCTATGCATTCTTAGTGGCATTGTAACTCTTGTTATTGCTCAAGACTTGCCTAACCAGCTGTATTCTAAAAAGAGTATCTTTTCCAACTCTTTCCTTGATTATATAAGTATGGCATTAAGACAGCATTAATATTTAGAATGCTTGTTGATGTGCAGTACCCAAATGTGATCTATATTATTTAAGATATGTATTACAAAGTAAATCTAGAAGTCTCATACTTTAGTTATATAATATTGTTCTTTATTTTTATTGATTTGTCTGTTAATATTTTTAGGTCACTAAAATTTTTCAAAAGAAGAAAAATTCTGTCACATATAGTTTTCGACAGTCCTTTACCCTCTATGGAATGCAAGTTCTCCTTTTTGAGAATCAGTGTAAGTATTTATCTGATTTGAAAATTCATTGTAAATCATTTTAAGAATGAATATATCTTTTAGTTAGATGGCCATAAGTAAAACATGAATGGAAACTATAGTAAAGCAGAAGTAACAAAAGGTATAGAGAAAATACTGTATATGTATTTTTATAAGGAATCTTAGCTCATAATGGAAATGATTCATATATATATATTGAAAATGTGATAAATGCAACATTTTTATCTCACTATGGAAATAAATTAATTGACTGCTCGGACTTCCAAAATTAACATTTGGAATTTATACAGTAATCCATAATATCTTTTCCAAATGGTAAATCATAGCACAGTTAGAAAAAATACATACACTGTAGGCTATGCTTAAATGGTATTTAAACTTAAAAACTATTTTAACAGAGAAGCATTATTGAACAAACTAAGTTTATTAAGTGATTTGGATTATACTTAATGCAGAAAGAATGAATTTGAAACAATAATCCTGAACACTGTTAAAATGTATTGTTATTTGATCCATTCTAAAGCAGAGTCATTTATATTGTCCAGAATATAGCATTATAGCCAGTGGTGGGTTTCAAATCCCAGTTGGAACAGGTCCGGTGATGTCCTCATGGACGTGTGCAGTGCGCGCATGCATTTTAACGCCTCTGCGACACTCCAGCTGCATACAGCGCCATGTGTAGAAGCCTAAAAACACAGGTAAAGAGCTCGGGCGGGCAGGTGAACCCTCCGGAGCACCGTACCGGAACAGTATCTGGTACTCCAGGCTGGCTCCGGTATGCCTGTACCGGAGTGTACTGTCTGCAACCCACCACTGATTATAGCAGAATTTAGCAATTCAGTGAAAGATTTGAAGTTAGATTTTAATGACACATTTTCCTTTGGTTGCCTCTCTGATATAAAGCCATAATAATCAGAACAAAGTAACCTGTTTTGCATACATGCTAATGAGATATGTAGTGCCAAAACAAGACAGTTATTAACTGTACAACTTAATAAGGTTTCCCATCTCCTGTAATCTGGGTATCTAAGATACTTAGCATAAACTGCCATAGCGCTCTCTCTCTATCTATCTATCTCTCCATATCTCTCTTTCTATTTTTTTCTTTTTAAGAATAGGCTTGTCTGCAAATATCACATGAACATTTTAGCTATAAATTTGATTGGTAATTTTTTATAGCTATTGTTCTAGAAACTTGCAAAATTCACAACAGTAATTTAGATCTGTTTATTTTCAAATATATTTTCGTTTCATTCAAAAACTTTCAGTTCCAAAATAATTATGCATGTCTGTTCCTTTTGTTTAGGATTTAGGTTTTTTTAAATCATATTACAATTACATTTTATTGCATACAATTCTACATTGATTGATTGATTGATTGATTGATTGATTGATGATCCATCAAAGCATTGTGGATGCTTAGTAATCAATAGTTTTTCTGCATGATGATCAAAATTCATATGCTTTTCAATTGATTCACATTTATGACAGTGGCAGTGCCTTGGGGTCTTTTGATTCTGCAACCTTCTGACAAGCAATTGGGGAAGCCATTGTTTACTTAACAACCTTGTTACTAACTCAATAATTGCAATAATTCACTTAGCAACTGTGGCAAGGAAGATTGTAAAATGGGACAAAACTCACTTAACAATAGTTTTGCTTAGTGACAAAAAATTTAGGCTCAATTGTGGTTGTAAGTCGAGGACTACCTATATCTATTTCAAGGCCTTAATGGCTGCTGTACCAAGTGGTAGTCTGTAGCACTTCGTAATTCCTTTACTGTTGATGTTTGATCCTAAAAGGCAGAAACTAGCCACAATTATTTTTACACACACACACACACACACACACACACACACACACTGTTTAAAAGTCCGACCCAAAAAGCAGATTCCACAGAAAATGTATTATAAATTATATTCAATGTTTAAATAAAACATATTGTGATTGATCTTTAGGGCTTGAGTTTCAATACAGACTGCTTATAATGGATTTATAGGCCACCTGAAAGTGTGGCTCTGAGCACAACACATACAATAAATGGGGGAGAGGGGGACTCAATATTTAAAAGCAACTGAACACATTAATTAAACAACCAAAAAGTTACTCCGATTAACTCAACCCCAAATTCCTGGGAATATCGATTACTCAAGAAACAGCTGCAAAGAGTCTTATTAAGATCATTTTCTGTACAGATATTGGGTTCAGTAATAAATATGACCTCAAGTAATGATTATAAGTCATGGTGATCATTAAGTGGATTACCATATGACCTCATTGAACAAATCCATTTTCTTTAATGGGCATTTTTTTTTGTCAGAAATCAAAAATAAATGCCAGAAACAGGTTAAAAAAAATCACCAAAAATTATGGCCATGTGGCCACAGGATCCTGCAGATAACCATAAATGAAAAATAGAAGATATGATCACATGACCACGGGGGTGGGGCTGCCGCCATAGTTGCTCTGGAACTGGGTCATAAGTAGCTCTGGGGTGGCCTGTTGTAACTTCGCTCAGTGACTGGTCATTAAGCAAAGACTACTTGTAAATGGCATTGTGAATACAAGTAATTGGCCTTTAAATAATGTTTGGCATTGTAAAACATCGAGAAACCAAAGGACTTAACAATTGATTAGTCCATGCCAAAGCCATGTCTTCAAGTTCCTAGGTAGAGCACATTTTGCTTGGTGGATTAGATAATTTTCTTGTGACCATTCAATGTCTCCTGAATATATTAGTTTTGGATACCATCACTGCGCAGACATTGCTTGTAGTTCCATCTGCCTGTACCCCAAGGGCAGGACATCCTTATGCTGATTTTCCTAAAGACTTTCTAAGTTAACATTCTGAAAATATGAAAACATTATTGAAAGCATTGGAAAATTTGCTAAAATTATGATCTCCAGTAGCTGAACAATAAATACCTAGTGTCAGAAATGGTGATTTAGTTTGTTAGAAATGTACAGTACAGTGTATAAAGATCTCTGAAGATCTTCTTCAGAAAAGAAGAGGAAAAAAGAGTATTAAGAGTGCAGTAAGAGAAATCTTTGATTTATTGAAATATTTTTATACATGGAGCTATGGAGAAATAATGAAATGAAATTAATACAAATGGGATACTTTTTTTTTGCTATCTCTTAGATTATCCAAATGGCATACGACTGACATCAGCTGTTCCAGGAGCAGATATCAAAGTTTTAATAAATTTCAATGCTCCAAATCCCCAGGACAGAAAGAAATTTACAGATGATTTGAGGGAATCTGTTGCAGAAGTACAAGAAATGGAAAAACACAGAATAGAGTGTAAGTACAAAGGTAGATACATAGAGTACCTATAATTAATTGTATATTTCATGAAACACTCCTTTCAAGTGCTTTGCACAACTCTAATAGAAATACATTACACACACACACACACACACACACACATACACACACACATATATATATATATATCCAAGCATATATTATATAAAGCTGTACATCCCACAAAGCTTGAATATTTGCAAAACCATTTATCTAGAGTTGTGCATCCCTGTCCAGAAAGTTATGTTAGGATTAGTATGCTTAGGCTCTATCTATTAAAAATATCATTTTGTATGACCCAGAAGGCATGACTTCTGTGTTGTGCTGCTGCTATAAGAAATAGCCTCCTCTCTGAGGCTGAAGAGACCCAACACTGCAGGCCTTAAAGAAAGCAATGAAGACTCAACTGTTTCAATACATGGTGAGTCTTTACGTCTGCCAGCCATTGACTTTGAATTATGAAGGCTCCTTGGTTTTCTCTAAGTTTGGTTGTTTCATTGCCCACAGTAGGTAACTTCATCAATAAACGTCTGCAAGAAAACAACCAAGCTCAGAGACCACCAAGGACCCCTCATTTCAACCCTGAGCTACAAGTATTCTTCTTTATTGGTACAGTACTATGAGTTGTGTTTTGTAAATAGTTGTAGTGCTACCTACCCAAGTACGCGTGTTTGAAAACACATAGAATATTCCTCTACATTAAACTGAGTGAGGATTTCTTTCACCATACAGAAGTCCTGTCATGTATAACACAATTGATAAATTGCAGTGCAGTATTTGTACAAGTTTTAAAATTGTTTCTTTTTCAATTGTATTTATTTATTAGATTTATATTTGCCTTCCTTTCAGGAAGAAATGGTAGCTAGTATAGTAGTCTCTTTACCAACTCCTCCCCAGCGGTAAATTGGACTGAGAAAGAACAATGGGACCAATGCAGCTCCAATGCATTACATAAATTGTTACATATGTACATAATCATACATAAGTATCACAAAATGAAGACACAAAATGAAAGGTATAATTGACAGATGAACAGTAAACATGTCCATGATGTGGGGGAGATAGTTGACAGGCAGACGGACCATTTTTATTTGGGGGGAATTATAGAATCTATATTGAGTGATGGCAATAGCACAGAATTTAGAAGTTCCACTTGCTTGTGTGGCCAAAATAATGCACTTCTTAATTACTGGAATACATTGCACAGAAGGTTTTGATTCATCATAGAACTCTCTTTTACATTTTTTCAGCTGAATTAGAAAAGCAGAAAGGTGTAGTGCGACCAAACATGTCTCAGTGCTCTAGCCTGAAAAAAGAGTCTGGCAATGGAACGTTGAACCGGGCCTGCCTGGATGACAGCTATGCCACGGGGGAAGGCCTCAAAAGGAGCGCTCTTAGCAGCTCCCTTAGAGATCTTTCTGAAGCCGGTAAGCTTGGCATTTCTTCTCTCTTAGATTAATTTTGGCAGAGTAAAAGAATTTGTCTGTTACACGTGAAAGTATAGAAATCAATCTGGAAAAGTTATGTACTAATTTTTTCTATTTTTCCTTTACATTTGAAAATATTAGATTGCTAAAAGTGGTCTTTGTATACATACTTTTAAAGAGGAACAAGAGGAAATGTATATTTTATATTGCAATCATTAAATATTAATACATTTTGCAAGGAAAAATTAGTTTTGCTTTTTATCTTTGTTTTCTTCTGATTATTAGTGCCATTACAAAAGAAAAATCCACCCAAATCACTGTGTACTGGCTGCTGCTTATGCTTTTTGTGGTTGTTTGTATCCATGTAGAATACTGATGAATGAAATTGAGTGAAGCCCTGCTAAATTCTATAGAAAAATACAGATCAGACATACCTGTGTGATTGATATTACTTAATTGTATTGGCTCAGAAAACAGATTCTAGATTGTGCCAAATGTGGCTTATGTATATATTGTACTGCTATTTACCTATATGATGGTGGGGAACCATCATGGCAAAGTAGTTACTCCAGTTTTGCATTACTGCTTTGTGACTCAAAATGGATTGTGATAGCAGTTTAACATATATTGAAATATATATATGTTACATACCCGGTTTTGGATTATATACATTTTCTATGTATGCAGGAATGAGATAACCTCTATCATTATGTTTGGAAATCAGTGGTATATTTTGCATGTCAAGCAGGACATTTCAGCCATGCGTGCATAATATTAGACACATAAATGATTCCTACTGTTGCTACTAGTATTGCTCTGCATTTTAACATCATGCACATCATCCTAAATTAAATATATCAGTTATAAATACTTGATTTAATTAATATTTTTCCCATTTCTTATTTTCATTACTATATAAAGTAACATGCAGCTCTCTTTTAAATATTGGATGTTCATTTTACGGATGTTCTGGATTTAATGTACAATGAAAGGGATGCAATCAATATTCTGTCCAATAATCTTAAGTATGCAGTATGAATCATTACATGCAAACATTTATTTGCTCATCAGAATATACGCATATGTATTTTTTATCTTTACAGGTTATATTCTGTTTCATAGTTTTTTATTCCCTTTAAACAACTTAGAGGGCAATTCAGTGACCTTTAAATTTATTAGTTTCACTGAAAGAGATTTACTAAGTCTTTTAAAGGTACTTGTATGATTTGGATGAAATCTCAGTAATTGTTAGTAGTTTCATGTAAGAATGGTTTCATGTTTTGCTTTCGCTTTTCACATGTGAATGGCAGCATTCATTTTTAGAAACAGGAATTTTACTGTTCTACTGATTATCTGAGAGGATTATGAATAAATATATTTCATCTAATAAGGAGCTTTTCATTTTCTTATTTCAGACATTATCATGTAGATAGTTTCATCCTGCCTCTTTACAATAAACAAGATGAATTTTTAATGATCACAAAATAGTTAATATGCCTAGAGCATGTGCCATTTGCTGGCATAGGCAATACTGACAGTTGTTCTCCAAAGTCAAACATGGCTATCAGGATGAAGGGCTTAAGTGATGCCCATATTAACATTTGCTAAACTTTAATATTTTTCAATTTAATATTATAGAACTTTTATGTTTGGACTTGTGCAGTGCAGTTAATTTGAAAACAAATGGAATCAATTGTGGGTGCTAAACATAGATTATTTCAGTTGTTATCAAAGAAGATAATCAGGTCTTTTCTGTAATAATAAAATGGCTTTTGTAGTTACAGGAATGAGTTCAAGCATAAAAATCATTAGGCAATTTCATTGTTGCTGTTTTGAAACAAATTGTGATGTAGATAGGTAAATGATTAAAAGTTTAAGATCAGTTTCATTCCTGCAACCTTAATGGAGAAGGTATGAATAACATCCAAGACAAAGGATTTTTGTATATAGAGATTTTAGAGAAAACTTGTCAAAAATTATTCCCAAATGTTATGTGTGAGTTCACCATATTTGATAATGCTAGGGATTTCATTCCTAGCCCTACTCTAGGAAGCCACATGTGGCCTCCCATTCATTTTCTGAGTTTAATCTTTTTACCCCATCCCATCTCCAACAGTGGCATGGTCTTCCTTTCTTCCCAGCATCTTGTTTGCAAGCTTTATCTTCAAGAAAGCTTGAAGGGTTTCTTTTAGTGGATAGGAATTGTGAATATAAAGACAGACAAATATCACAATTTCTTCTTCTTGGGTCCCCTCAGTGCCAAAGAGGTTTGCCATCACTACCTAGGGAAAGTCACATGGTTAAGTCAGGTGAGAAAGTCTTCTGGAATGTGAGTCAAAAGCTAGAAGCTCTGATTGTCTGAATCAGAGGAGTGTCAGTCTTGCAAAGTAGTCCAGATGAGGAGAACATCCAGGAATACCAGCTCTATCTTTGTATATTGTAAAGTACCCCTCCTATCCCAAAACTAGGGAGGGTCCCTTATGAGTCACTTTTGCCACTCCTCTTCCTTTGGACTCAAATTTCATTTATCAGATGACTAGGCTGAGACTCTTCCTCCTGTCTCCCAAGATCATTCCCATATATACTATTACAAGTTCTCACTCTCAGAGAATAGGAGATTGCCATCATATCCTTCTTCCATTGTATGAGCTGTGGCTTCTAGCAGCAGCCTGAGTGCTGGGAAACTCCAGAAGAGGCAACAGCAGCTCCAGTAATAACTTCAAGGGGAAGATAGCAATGAAGCCATAATAAGGCTTCCAGGGCTGGAGTTCGATTTTCCAAATCAACAAATGGGAACTACTGCTATTTAATGTTTATTTTAGGAAATTATAGTAGCATGCTACTATATATACTATATATACTATATAGTAACTGTATCATATTTCAACTTCTCAACATGTAGGGTGTTCTGGTGTATTTAAATCCAAATGTTTTGAGCACTTAAGTTAGGTATTCTGAGTATTCTCCAGTAAACACGGCCCCTAAACCCCATTATAATGTATGGAAGTGGGTATATAAAATCAATAATGTATTGATTGTTTGTTTTTTAGGCTGAGAAAAAAATATATGATATATGCAAAGTGCATCATTTCAGTTGTCATATTCCTTGATAGCATGTGATGTATTTTGGAGCAAGTAGTTACTAACATTGACATCAACTAGAGTTAGGGGTATTAATTTTCCTATAATATCCAGTTTAAGTATCTTTTTTAAATCTAGAAAAAGGAAATAGAAACACTGGATCACAGAAGGTAACGACTTCTACAAGAGAATTAGATACACACAGACACACAGACACAGACACACACACACCAATCTTAAATTTAAATGCAGAAATTACTACAGCATATTTGACAGATGATCATCTAATGTCTTTTTTGGAGCCCTCCAGTTGTTTAAAGCCCCCTAATTATCAGTTTCTGCAGTTGATTTATTGTAATAATAGGATTATTATAGGATATATTTGTATGCCATGAAAATTGTTTGACTCATAGTAATTGCTAAATTGCTAATAAAATTATGATTAGTTTCATTTTGTTTTATTTAGGGTAACTCCCCAAAATATTTATGAAATAAACTTTATGTACAAGAAAACTTAAAACTATTGAATATGTATGGAATATGTTAATTTTTCTGAAATCTCCACTTTACCAAAATCTTGCTTTGTTGAGTGAGATGGAAGGCATATCATTTAATATATAAAGAAATAATTTTAACAATATCAAGATGGCTTTTTCAACAACACATTACGTAGACTGTTTATATGATGAGTTTTGGGATTGCATGTCACAATAAAAATGTAAGATTTTTAAAATAGAAATTAGAAATAAATTGTTTCACCTAGGAGTTGGATTTGATAGTAAGAGTACCCTTTATGAAACTGTGGAGGTATATCACACAGAATCATCTGATCTTCTGCTTTCTATTGCGTAATATGTTTAATGTTTTATTTGTTCTTTGCCAATCACACTAACTGTTTCTGAGGCTTCTCAGGACAAAGGAATAATGAGAATTCCTTTTGGTTTTCCATCATAGTATAGGCTTTTTGCCTATTATAGTAATATCCCCAATATCATAAATATCTTTTTAGATTACAAACATCATATCTCTCTTTTCTGACATCATTTTTCTTGCTTGTACTTGTGACCCAGAACATCACTATCCATGCAAAAGAGGGAAAACCTGAAGTGACCATGTAGTTTGCTGAATTGCCCAAAGGAAACATTAGAGAGGGAATAAAAAACCCTAATGAAAACTGCATAAAGAAAAGAATATAATTCCTTAATGTTTGCCAATGTTGGCAACAATAAAATGATTTCAACTGCCAGAATTCTAAGGAAATTGGAAAAGGACCTCTATGGGAGATACTGTAGATCAGTGGTTCCCAGCGTGGGCCCATAACCCACAGGGGGACAAATTGATTTTTAATGGGGGCAATTTGAACCTTGTTTAAACCAAGTTAATGGCCTTTTGGGCTTCTTCTGCGTGAGTAGAATTCACTTTTTGAGTAAAGTACGAATTATATGTCAGGGGATCAGAATTTTAGAGATGCTTTGGTGGGGCATGGCCAAGTGGTTGGGAACCACTGCTGTAGATACTAAAAGGATAACATGTTTGCTTTGTGTCAGTCATTTTCTGATTGATACTAAGAAGTTATTTTAAAATATCTTCAACAACAGACATTGTTTAAAAATAAAGGAATAAATCAAGGAGTTCATGGAACTGGGATTGAGAACAGTTTTTACAGACATCCTCATAAAACTTGCAAATCCCAACCACCTCCGAATATCTCAGTGAGGAGTGAGCAGGGCTAGTGGCACAAAATGCTGAATATCAATTGGAAGTGAGGTTGAACCATAGAAAAAAGTGACTAAAAATCCTGGCTTCTATTTTGCAACATTTTATTCCACATTCTCAGTTGAATCTCATTAGTAGATCAGTAAAGTTAATAAAGACTTGAAAAATCTTTGCGCAACTTACACTGAGACTACAACTATTGATTTTTAATACATGAGTGATCTCTGTGAGATTAATCACCTTTTCCATCGTCATATTTTCATCACACCTTTATATTGTTCACCACATTGGTTATCATATAAAAACTGAATCATTAATAGAAACTGGAACAGACCATCTTAAAATATTCCTGAACTAATATAGAAGCATTAATTTGGACTGATATTTTTTATCCTAAACAATATCCTTCAAAATCCTATTGCTTAAAAAATAATAATCCTAAAATGTATGAAAGTGCATTGTAAACTGCCAAGTCTCTGCATCAGTGAGTTGGGTGGCATAAAATTTTAATAAATAAACTGATTTAGGACATGTAACTTCATTCAGATTTTTATCACATAGTACTAACTTTAGCACTTGTATGCTCTATAAAATAGTCTTACAGTAACCATAATTCTAAAATGGAGATTTTCAAGGGAAACATGCCTTTCAAACATGCTTGTTTGAAAGAAACCCAACTTGACAAATATTTTAACAGGGTTATGCAAATTCTTTGAAAGAGATGCTTTGTAACATGTGATTGTGCCTAAAAAGCATGATTCCTAGATAAAGGCAACTGTATCTTTTTCACATGCCTGCTTCTTCCCTTTACTTATTACTTCAGTTCCCAGAAAGAGAAATAACTGTTTTAATTATTGAAGAAGAAATTTTCATTGTACACGTTGTCATGTGATATAAAGCACTTTTTTGAAATGCTTTGCACATTTGTAAGTAAAAATATGATGACGAATACCAGACTGTCCTTGTTTTTTTAAAAAAAATAGAAAACACATTACACAGAATAATATGGAATAGCTTATTAATGTGGAAAGTAACATTTGAGTGACAGATTTTTATTTTAAACGAATATTTTAAACTGGCTAATGATAAATTATATTCACCATATTTATATAATATTTTGTTTTATTTTTACCTTGAAATAATAAAGGGTGTTGCATGACATCTCAGAACTTAGCATCTTACACTTTTTTTCTGTTGAAACTTTCTTTATCATTGAACTAGCATAAACTCACTGCATCAATTTCATTCTTGTGGAATTCAGTCTGACTTTTTAAAAGTAAGAAGTGGAATGCTTCTTTCTTGTCCCTTTGAGCTTGACTTTCTGTGTTTTGTTAACTACTACATATAGAAGCAGATATTATACCTCCATCTTTACATTATTGTTTGGCTGCTAGACAATAACCATTCTAATGCTCAGAATTATGATAAAGTCATTAATTGCCCTTATTCCCTTTTATTCTGTCTTTGTTCACATTTAATAAGGCGGGACTTCTTAAGACAGCAAGTATCTTTTCTCTTGAAGGCAAAACATGAAATGTCGAATATTTCTATCTGAACAACACTTTGGGGCTGTTATTAATTTCCATGCTGTTTCCACAGTTGGCACATTCCCAAATCTAATATTTAACTTGGATCTTCTTTCTCCTTTTAATTTAAATTTAGACCCATTCTGAGTCATTGAGAGTTGGATGGCATGCAAGTTGAATAAACTATTATTATTATCGCATAATGTTACATTTCATATAAACTAAATTTACCATAGAAGTGTCCTAGACTCTGTGTTTTTCCAAGGGTGAATGGGTTACCATATGTTAGGAATAGGCACCCAACAAATCTTTAGTGTTAAGTATCTGATCTGAGCACCCATCTTAAAAAAAACATTGTAAATCCATGTAAATGTATAAGCATTACACAGTGAACAAACAAATCTTGAACATAACATTGGATTAATTAATTTTGTATGCAAAATTAAATATAGTTTCCTTTGTCCTGATTGTATGATATTATATTATCATCTTTCATTTAATTGTCATGTAATAGTAGCAAATCTATAAGTCAAAATGCAATCATCATACTTGAAGTTCTTGAGTATGACTAAAAACATTTAAATAGATTTTAAGAAATTCATAACCATTATTTTTTAAAAAAATTAAATCCTATCCAGTATGGCCATTTTATATAAACATTTTACAGGATAACACACACATTGACAATTGTTCATATGTATAATTATATATTATATATTAAGATGCCTATACATAGATTTCCACAAAAATACATATAAGATACCGTATCTTTCAGAGTATAAGACACACCTTTCCCTCTCCCCAAAAAAGAGCTTAGAAATGTTGGTGCATCTTATACACTGAACACAGCCATTTTTTTGCCTCCTGAAGCCCCGCCCCTTCACCCCATTTTTGCTTCAGCAGGGCTGGGGGAAGGCAAAAATACCTGGTTTTGTGAAAAACATCCCATTTTCTGCCCGCCTTTTGCAAAAATGGGGGCGTTTTTGCCTTCCCCAAGCCCTGCTGAAGCCTGCAGAGTGCTCCTGGAGACTGGTCTGTTTTTTGCAAAAATGGGGGGAAGGGGCGGGGCTTCAGGAGGCCAAAAAATGGCTGTATTCGGGAGGACAAAAACTTTTTTTCTTACTTACCTCTTTGAAATCTTGGTGCATCTTACAGTCTGAAAAATACGATAAATTTATAATGAAACTAGTCACTTTAACTTCTAATTTTTCCATTATAAATCATGATCTATGTTCAGACGTTCTCATATTTAAAGCAGGTATCATTGAAATCCATGGAACATAACATTATTGATGATTAAATTAGGTACCATTGCTTCCAGTAGGCTTATACTAAGTCTACTGGTGTATTCAACCACATTAAAATAGAAATTTCCTCATCGATTTCCAGGCAATATAAATTACATTCTTACCTGAGCATGAGGCCCACTGAAAAATAGACAAATTGCTTTTCAGTCAGTGTGCATAAAGTTTAATTTTAACTGTGTAGTTCTATAACAATTCCTGGGATATCACAACATGCAAAATTAATCTTCAGGCTGCCAGAAAAAAGTCCTGCAATGCATTAGGGAAAGTGGCTATTGATTCCCCAGGTCTTGTCTTGGTCTCTAATCTATGGTATTGCATGTCCTGGGCAGGCAAGCGTGGGCGTCGCAGCAGTGCAGGATCGCTAGACAGCAATATGGAAGTAAGTAGGAAGTTACTGATGTCTAGCTGGATGTGATGTGCATTTCAAACCTTTATTTTATATACATATTTTGCTCTTTTTTTCTTCTAACATACAACCTGCCTGCCTCAAATAAAATGCATGCCAAGGCTTTATAGTTTTAGCCTTTAAAAACCAACACTACTTCTGGTCTGTTTAGATCATGCATCATTATTTTGTTTCAGCTGCTGTTCTCCCCTTCTGTTCCTGCAAGCATGACTAAATAAATATGATGTGCCCTTTTGCCACTGTCACTGTGTAAAGGCCCGATGATTCTTTGTTACACAGTGCACTTATTGTGCTGTTTGTTATTTAACGCAAAGTATTGAATTCATGCTTAGTCATTCACATTGCTTACTTTCTGGTTAAATTGTGAAATGTATGCAGTCGTGACATCATGGAATTGCAAAGATAGGGCATGGGAAAAGAAAACATATAAAACAGGTGAATTCAATGTGGATTTCATGAGATTTCATTCATCTTCAAACCATTTATATACTGTTCATGTCTTTGAATTCAGCCTGCAGATTTGTGTGTGTGTATGTATGTATGTGTGTGTGTGTGTGTATGTGTGTGTGTGTATGTGTGTATGTATGTTAAAACTGAACAGAGTGCAGTCCACATATAGCACACAAAGCATCGGCAGTTAATTGTTTGTAAAGAAAACAAAAGCATCCAGAGACTAACAAGAAAGTTGGATAGTTAAAAGATAAATAGTTAAAAATACTAAGCAGCACATCAGCCTGCAAAAATATAGAAGCAATTCATTTGCAAGAAAATATTTATTTTCTACATTGCAAAGAGGAACAGGCTATTTTAATAATAATTCTATTGAAAAAATTACCATGAAATCTGACAACTAATAGTGTGTAACTGCCTTCAGGTTAATTCAACATAAATGTATATATTTTTGTCCTTGAAGAGAAAAATAAATAACATGACTATATTTTTAGTAGGGTAAAGAATGTAAAGCAAAATCAAAGATTTTGTGGTAACTGAATACTTTTTATTATTTAATAATTTCAGGCTTCTTTTATTTTAAGAAAGCCACCAGTATTTGTTAATGGATCATACTTAGTATTTCCCACGTACAACTTGAAAAAGAAATTGGCAGAAAAAGAAAGAGATTTCTCCTGCAGTTCATAAAGCTATTTCTCTATATGAGCTTTTAAAGAAAACATGATGGTCACTGTGAACTTTTTCTTTTACACATATTTTTAAGATTTTTTTTAATTTTTATTTTCTATTAATTTCTTTTTAGGGGTCCATCATTAGCAGTCCTCATATGCGCCGAAGAGCTACATCAACCCGAGAGTGTCCATCTCGCCCTCACCAGACTATGCCTAATTCTTCCTCACTACTAGGGTCCTTATTTGGTAGTAAGCGAGGAAAGCCTTCCCAAGGCCATTTAGCATCCGGCCCACCACCTCAGCACCCTCCCATAATGTCACACCCTCAGCACTCTCAACATCCTCCTGCCATGCACCACCCGGGTCCGGCTGAAGGGCAGACCCAGGCACAAGTGCACAGCCATCACTCTCAGTACTGCCATATGCAGAACCCACCTCCTTATCACCATCACCATCACTATCATCCGCCCCAGCACATCCAGCATCCGCACCAGTACCATCATGGGCCGCACTCGCAGCATGTAGCTCATGCCCAGCATTCATACCTGCCACATTCCCACGCCCCATATTCCCACGCTCCCCACCCTCCCTTGCCACCTTCTCATTTGGCACATCCTTCCCATGCTTCCCATCACCATGCACAGCCAGTAGCCCCTTCTACTTCAGCCAGCACGAAGCCCAAGCATAGCGGCATCAGCACAATAGTCTAGAAGCCAGCCAGCCACCTAGCCACAGCTGTAGCTCTAGGCCTAGATGTAAAGGCACTTACAGGAAACAGACGCAGCCTATAATTCTGGTTATTTTTTTAATTTATTTTAAAAGATCCGAACCAGAAACAACTTAATTGACTCCTTTGCCTTAAGGATTCAATGGATCAATGCATATTAACCTCACAGTGCTGGTCTTACAGTTCGGTGGTGACCTTTTCCCTCCTTTTTCTCTAGTAGCCTTGAAAATATGCTGCTTGCTGAAAATGTTAAACTACCTTTTTTCATCCGCATGACCATTTTTAACAAGTAATGAAAACATAACTTACTCAAAATAAAAAGAAAACTATGAAATAAAATTAATGTGGCATTCTTGCTCTTTAATTTACAATGGGCAAAAAAAGTAGACCTCATATGGTTGATGAAAATACGTAAGTAAACTCTATGTAATATAAATATATAAATATAGATATATAGATATATATATATACAGAAAGAGAGAGAGAGACAGACAGAGAGACAGACACTGTATAGATAACATTTATGCTTAGAAAAAGCTTTTTCAGTCCACAAAGCTAGCAATATATACTTTTCCATAATTTCCCTTACTGATAAAGGGCAGTAAAATAGATGAGTAGCAAATGGAAGTGTAGACCAAAAAAAGAACAAATTCCAGGCATTTCAGTACTCATTGAAAGTTCTCTGGACTTGAGAAAATAAAATCTTTAAGCAATCTTTGCAAAATGTGCCAAATAACATAGCATATAACTGTTGCAATCAAATATGCTTTGTACTCTATTAGTATAATAATATACTTATTCAGTATTATAACTGCTCTGCTATTTCAGGTAAGCAAACTAGTTAAGATGCAGTAACTATACAGTAGCAACACGAGACAACCTTTACTATAGGTTTTCTCTACATTTTGGTTCCTCCAATTCTTAGACACTTTAAAGGCTGTGATAACTGTGAACTTACATAGTTTACATTTCTTTTGTGTTTGTGTATGTTTTAATAAATACACATGAAGATTTACATAGAAGGTATTTATATACGCTGCATGAACATTCATCTCAGACCCTGAAATAACCAACATCCATTCTTTTCGGCCGCATTGCCTCTTTACCATTTAATACTCAGTTTTTATCAATGAAAACTTCAGACTTTTTTTCCACATGAAAGCAATCAGAAACTTGAAAGTTTATTTTAGTATTGAGTATAGATTTTTATAACTGTAATTCCATGTAGCCATGTGCTGGCAGCAGGATTTTTCTCACCATTTTTCTCATCACATTTGTTAGTTTTATCCAGCACTCAGCAGGCTGAGTCTATGCTCGAACTGTCATAGTCCAGTTAGTCCAAGACATCTTGTAAAATCCAACTGTGCTGTTGTTGCTTATGTGTTGTACTGAGTCGTTTGCAAGACCATATATTTCTTTGTAAACCTAAATCCTATTTTTTTTAAAAAAATAAAATCATACATGGAGCATACTTTGTAGTTTCAGCATTTTGAGCCACCTCAATCACGACTTTACATCTAAAAGGCAGAAACAAAAGGAACCGCAGAACTGCACCAGCAGAATTCTGAATGTTGATTTAAAAGAAGAGGAGGAAAAATGTTCCCGTGAAAGATGGGTAAAACCAAACAAAAACTGATTATTGCTTCTGAAAGAAGTCATAACGTATGAAACAACTTCCCTATACTGGTGATTCCTGATCTCGTTTTCTTCCCTCACTTTCTAATATATGGATTATATGGAGTACCAGCAAAAATAAGATCAATAGTTTTGTTAACTTTGATTCACCAGAAACAACCACTTAACAGAGTCTGATGTTTAAATTTGAAAATTATTTCTTATGCAATATACAACACTTTTCCTGTCCTTGGTTTCCCCTCCATCTAATTTAACTTCATTGGAAATTTTAATAAAAATAATGTTATCATCCAAGCTGTCCTAGATTGTGCAGATTACCTAAGAGGGAACATCACAACCCAAAAATCTCTTCACATTTAAATTTGGGGTTTCTTCTTATAAGGAATAATACAACTGTATGCATGTCATCTAATGTTAGTAGTATTGAGGCTACACTCTCCATAACGTATATTTGCAAAGTATTTCAGTGTTACTGTTGATATTAGTTGAAGTAAAGTGTTAACATATTTAAATATGTAAGCTTTTCTTCAAACCTTTGTACCAATAGTAGAGTTGAATTGTAACTTATAAGTTGTTCCAGAAAAGATAAGATAGGACATTTTTTCCCTTTGTATTTGTCATTGTATAATCTGCATATATCAAACTCAAAGCAATGGGCTGGATAGTCATTATTTTACATTTCAAGCATTAATATCTGTATTATCTATTGCATATTTTAAAAATGCTATCCATCTTTTATACTCATTGTTTTGATATTCCAGGAAAATCAAAGATTTTAGGTTTATAGATTCATATGCATTTAGTTAGAAACAAGTTTTATATTTTATAATTATACAGAAAAAGTAATCATCACAAATTTTGATGATTAGCAAATATAAAAAAATAATCAATAAACCCATTCAATTAATATGTTATTGCAGAAAAATCCAGTGTTATTGCCATTTAGACAAAACATCCAAGGAAGCGAATTGCCTTTAGTTATACAAGTAAAAAAGAAAAATACTTTTCCATGTTTTGGAAAATGAAAGTAATCATTATTACAATTTATATGCTACTGAAGAAAATAGAATTAATTTTTTAAAAGAGATTGGAAAGTTTTAATTATGTTTTCCTTATTGATTACGAAGCAGTATAAAGCACTACTGAACTACATCTCTTTCTCTCGGTGAAAACTAAGAAAAATGGACCTTGTAAAAATATCTTTTCTGGGACAACCATCCATTATATATTTCTTTTAATTAAGAATGAAATGTAAATCAATGTAAAGAAAACCAAAGTTATTCTATTATAATGTAAATGTCTTGTATTGCTAAAAGTCTTACAGCATAACTTGTAGGATGATTTTCCCATCAAGCACTGCATGCAGCTAAACCTCGTTTCTTGATTTTTAAATGAGCTGAAAAGCAGTCAGCAGCTACTTAACAATGACACTTTACATGTTGACATGCTGTTTCATATACAGCTGTGCATTTTCTGCAATTAAGCATGAGTTTCGCTGTTTCCATTGTAAAATACCATCACACCTTGCCTGCAAAAAAGTGTGTACATAGTTCAAAGAAAAAATGACCAATCATAAGATACAATTTTGAAGGAGGGAAAAAGGGAGTGGAAACAGGACCAAGTAGGAAGAATAATTAATTCTCTAAACTGTATATAGTGTGTAAATTAGTATTAATATAAGTCTGCAGTCACTTTTCAGGTTACACACAGTACCTGTCTCTGCTAGGAACTAAATCCCAGCTTGAATAGTATTAAACTGTTAGAATTAGATTGAATGCAGACTGTTAAAAGACTTCAAGAAACATCATGCTCATGAGAAGCTTCTGTAAAGGGATATTCAAGAGATTTTGTAACTGTTGGAAAAGAAGGAGTGCTTTCATTTTAATATGCATTTGTTTGTAAGTAGTATCAGACTTTATTGTTGTTAAACTATAACTGTGATTATGTGGGAAATCAAATAAATCACTTTGAACTCACCAAGTTTCTCATTCTTTGTAGAACATATATTTTTTCATATTAATTGAATAAAATTATTAATGCCACTTTAATTCTTGGACATCTCATTTTGCATTGTTTTAAGAATTACATTCAAAATTAGGAAAGAGATTACTTGCATTTATTCATTCATTTTGGATAATGGATTCAGTAATGTACAGTACATGGTATTATTGTTTATCATCACGCAATCTCACTATAGATCCTCTGCTTCACATCAACTACTGTTCCCTTATAATCATAAGGAATATTAATAATGTTGATGTTAATATTAATGATATAAGAAACATAAAAAAGAAACTGTAGGCTTTGTCTTGGCTGCTCAAGAGCCAGCTAGTTCAACTAATGAATAGAATTGAAAAAGATTTGCCAGATTTGAAAAATCATCAAATGATTCAAAGTGCAGAGTGTGTGAACAAGCAGAAGAAACAATAGGTAATACACTCAGCTCATGCAAGATCACACAAACTTGACTATAAATGACATAACAAGGTTGCCAAAATGATTCTATGGAGCAGTATTACTGGAACATGTATCAATAATATCCCATAGGTGCTTTTTCAGGAGGTAACTGGACTTCGTTTTTTCTTTTGAAGTTTTGTTTCTCATCCAAAGGGAATGGAATTATCTGCCCCTTTTATCTACATTTTCAAATAATTTCCTATTCCTTCCTGTACACAAATTAATACTGTAAGACTTATTTTATCGTCATTATTTTATTTTTCCAAGGTATTACAAAGCACATATCTTATTGGAGGTCAGATACAAACAACACAAGTGGGGACAATCACTGACTCAAAGGTATTGAGCCTTGTTAAGAAAATCACAGGAAATAAATTAAAGTTTTTGCTTGGGCAGCATATTTATTAAAACAGTATTATTCATTCCAGTATCTGAGTAACTATAGAATGTTTTACATCTTATGAACTCCATAAAGAAATTGTGTTGCATTTACAGAGGCTTTTAAAAAATAATAATCTGAATTTCAATTTCTATTCACTATTGTAAAGATAGACTGATAAACTGGTGTTCTATTGCACCTCAGTGGAGAGAAGTGGGAAACAAAAAAGTAAATTAGAAAATAGTCTCTAGAAAAGGCATAAATTCTGAAGAAAGGGAGAACAGTCAATGAACCTGAATGATATTTCTTCCCCTTTACTTGTGTTTTGCTTCCATTTTGAAAGGTACTTCTAAACAATTGCAGAATTTATTATGAAAAGGGGGTTATTGTTATAGCAATTTTCATTGATTGCTAAAAATGAATATTCTAGCCTTACAGATGCTGGGTGGATCTATCATAACAAGATAATAAAGTACAACAGCAGTATCACCAATTTATTCAGCATAGTAAAAATATTTCACTAATTTTCTAAATAGCTCATTTTCTGTTTTTCATTGTGCTTTTAAAGTTGAAAGACATACATGTAGTCCTCAACTTATGACAATTGAGCCCAACATTTCTATTGCTAAGCAAGACAGTTAAGAGAGTTTTGCCCCATTTTACGACCTTTCGTGCCATAATTCTAAAGTGAATCACTGCAGTCATAAAGACAATGTGGCTTCCCTACTGACTTTGCTTGTCAGAAGGTTGCAAAAGATGATGACATGAGCCCAGGCCACTGCAATCGTCATAAATGAGCCAGTTACCAAAAGTCTGAATTTTGATCACATGACCATGGGAATGTGCAATGATTGCATGAAAAATGGTCATGAAAGGCATGGTGGTGTAGTGATTAGAATGCAGTATTGCAGGCTAATTCTGCCAACTGCCAAAGTTTGATTCCCACCAGTTCAAGATTGACTGAGGACCCAGATTGTTGGATACTGACTCTGTAAACTCTTTAGACAGGTTGTAAAAGCCCTGTGAAGCAGAATATAAGTCTAAGTGCTATTGCTATGTCATTGTTTTCAGTGCCATTGTAAACTTCAAATAGTCATTAAATGAAAGGTTCTAAGTTGAGGAATACCTGCAATCATATTTTATGAAACAACAACAGAGATCCATCAAGTCACTGAGATCAATATATTAAAAATTGCATCAATATTTTAAAAACTGGAAATTTATTTTTCCCATGAATATATGTATTTTTCCTATGACCACTTTCTAACATTCCTGCCCACTGTACTTTTTAATTATGCATTTTTGCAAATACTTATGAAATAAATGAATAAATGTTAATCCTATGCACTCTGGTTCTCTCTCTAAAATATAAAACAAAGATGAGATTTTTAGTTTGGCTATCAAAGAATTATTAAATGGCGTGAAGATATAACTTACACAAAGCACTGCATTAAACTGAAGCACAGACAGCTTTTTTAGTCATTTAATCATAAAATTAATTTTAGTTCTCTGTGTTGTTCTGAATATATGGAAATCTCTTAATAAATGTTGAAATAGGTTATCTCTTATTTAAAAGGATGAATCACAAACAATAATTTAAAATATGGCTTTATGTATCTCAAAATAGATAAGAAAATAAAGTTTCAAAATATTCGAGTAACAGAAGGAAGAACAATTATCTCATTCTAAACTTGTTAACAGAAAACTGTAATAGAAAACTTCTCCCCTTCTGCACTTTTTCTGCTAAAAATTACTCTCCCAAATTGGTTTGTTCTACAAGAAAAATTGAGCACACTGTATGTAACATGTATGTAACACTATGTAACATGTTAAATACAACTGCCAGATTCCTGGTGGTTATCCCAGATCATGGGTTGAACCCTTCTGGTTTCAATTCTGTCTCCCAATCAACTACATACTATTTATATCCTTTCTGCATGTTTTTTTACAAATCTGTAAAGTGCCTAAAGTTGTAGCGGAATCAAGCAACTGAAAGAAACC